AGTAATGTGTTGATAATTTTAGTTATGAGTTTACATCATCAAGACTATCAACATTATATAATTAATACTTATTATTTCTTTCATTTGTTTTGTAATATTCATATTACAGTTATTATACCTAAATTGTTTTCTATTTCTTTTAATTTTTATTGATAGTTTATGATTAAGCCAAACAACACTAAAACCACTTGAATGGTTTCTAATTATCTTATCTTTTCATTTCTTATTTTTTTTTGTAATACTTTATACTAATTTAAATATTTGGTTGTTATATTTTCATTTTATACTATAGTCATATCATTAATCTATGTTTTATTTATCATCTTCATTAATATTATTTCATATTATATATTTAGTATCATCTTATGTTAATAAGTCATTGTTATAAGTAATTAAAAATAAAAAAAATTGTTAATTTCATACAGTGAAGTGGATATTGTAAATTCATATTTTCTATTTCTTTATGATATTTGTTATTTATTTTTATATATTTCTTCAATTCCATATTTATTTTATCATATATATATATATTTATATTTATATATTTATATTTATCATTTTACATACTAATAATATTTAAGATATAAATGTTTTGTTATTTGTACGACATTTCCATTATTTTATATTTCATTATTGTTTATATCATTTCTTGATTTAATTATTAACATTTTCTTGTATTATTAATATTTGAATATATACTCTATTTAATATTATTTACTTCATTTTAATTTATTATTATTATTATTATTATTATTATTATTATTATTATTATTATTATTATTATTATTATTATTATTATTATTATATTCATTCCATTATTTGTTTATAACCCCTAATGATTATTATCCATGTACTATGAAAGTGGTACTCATTTATTTTGTCTTCTTTTTCTTTTACCATCTCTTAAAAGAAATTCAGCAGAAATTAAAATACTAAGAAATACCTAATACTAAACATAAAATAACATTTAGGTGTTACAATGATTCTGGAAATTAAAAAGAAAACAAATTATATAATGATTAATTTTAAATTGATAATTGTCGTATCAATACATCAATGTTTAAAGAAAAAAAAAGGAATATAGAAATTACCAAATATATTAGTTAGAAAATTGATAACTTCAATGATAACTTTTTACCAATTAGTTAATACAGTTATAAATTGATTTTGAATTTAACCATAACATAATAAGTTTATTATAAAATGAATTAAGAATAAATTTATAATATAATCCTTTAATAAAATGTTGATATTTTTATAATTGATTTTTGATTCTAACAGTTTTTGATACAAAAATAGCATTATAATAATTTGACATTATAGATTATAATAAAACATTCTGATTTTACTTGTTTTATTTTTTAATATTACAAATTAACTTAAAAAAAGATAGTGAAACAAAACACTAAAATTAAAATTGAATAACAACTTTGACGCAATGAGTTGGTTTATTTTGAAAGAAGTCGAATGCATTTATAATTTGATCAAAAGTGAATCTTTGAGTAAGTAATGGCATAGTGTCAATTTTTTTGTTTTTAATTTTCTCAATTAACTCATCACAATGAATTGCATCAACTCCACCAGTTTTAAAAATAAGATTTTTACCATACATCAAAGGTAATGGAAATGACTGGTTTGACTCATACATAGCTACTAAAGCAACAATTCCATTTGGTCGAGTTAATTTCCATGACAACTCAAAAGATTCATTTGTTCCAGCATTTTCTATTGTACAATCACATCCCCTATTATTAGTAATACTGAGAATCTCATTGACAATATCACAATTATGTGGATTAAAACTCCAATCACAACAATGTAATTTTTGTGCGTATTCTAAACATTGAGTGTTGATATCTAAAGCAATAACTTTAGCCTTTTTCATTTTACAACAAAGCATTGAACATAAACCAACAGGACCACAACCTATAACAGTAACAATATCTCCTTCTTTAACTTCTCCTAATTCAACTCCAAAATACCCACTTGAAAGAACATCACCAACTAATAAACATTGTTCATCTTTTACTTCTTTTGGAATAACATTTAAACTTGAATCAGCAAATGGAATTCTTACGTACTCTGCCATTGTTCCATTTTCTCTACAACCAATTTCCCATCCACCATACTCACAATTATTAATATATCCATGTTGGCAAAACCAACAATTACCACAAAAAGTAATACAGTTGATTGAAACGTGATCACCAACTTTAATTTTCTTAACACTTTTTCCAATTTCAACAACTTCTCCAACTCCTTCATGACCTAAAATAACACCTTTTTTAGCTCTTGGTACTTTTCCTTTTAAAATATGGATATCACTACTGCAAATTGATGCAAATGTTATTTTGACAACGGCATCAGTCTCATGAGTGATTTTTGGTTTTTCAACTTCAGTTATTTCTAATTGATTTTCGTCAGAAAAACAAAGTCCTTTCATCCTATTTGATATATAGTTGATTGATTTTGAAATTATTTTTTTTTAACTCCAAATAAGTTTTATAAACCAAAAAATAATAAGAACTAAAAATATATATTTTGATATATTTTTATTATTTAAAAAATGAGAAAAAGAATGAAAAAAAATTCGTTTCATTCAGACATGAATTTTCAAAGAAAAAAATCGGGAGAAAGAAGTTTTTTCAGCTAAAAATAATAATCGCCTCTCATTATATTTATAGGGAACCAAAATGAGAAAAAGCATAGATAGTAAGATATAGTAAAATAATAATAAAAAAGTTAAATAATAAAAGAAGAAAAAGAACTCTACAAAAACAAACTCAAAAATAAGGAAAGATGAACACAAATGCAAATAGAAATAAACAACCAAGTGATGAACTACCAATTAAAATTATAATTATTGGAGATTTAGGAGTTGGAAAGACGTCACTTATTCATAAATATTGCGAATATAGTGGAGAAGTTAAAGAGCTAAATTATAAGAGTTTAATTTTTCAAAACCGTAAATTAAAACTTGTATTACCTGATACTTGTGGAGGTGAACAAATGGCTACTCTTACTTCTGCTGTTTATCAAAATGCTTCTGCTTGTGTCTTTGTTTATGATATTACAAAAAATGATTCATTATTATCTCTTCAAAATTGGATTGGAGAATTAAGGCGTTATGGTCCAGACAAAGGAAATGTTCCAAAATTTTTATGTGGAAATAAAACAGACCTTGAAAGTCAAATTAATGAAAATGATTTTAAAGATTTTCTCAGTAAAAATCCAATGAAAGACTTTAAAATTTCTGTTCAAAATGGTGAAGGAATTGATACTATGTTTAATACCATTCTTCCAGAAGCAATTGAACAATCAATTAAACAATTAAAAGCAAAAGGTAAACCAATTCCACCCCCAATAAAAGAGAAAAAGAGTGGTAAGTGTGCTTTGCTTTAATTCAAAAATTGTTTGATGTTATTGTTTAGAATTCTTTTTTTTTTTTAATGAAATAGAAAAGAAGTTAAAAGAAAAAATAGATATAATTTTTTATTCAATTTGAATAATCATATCATAAATAGATTGAAGAGGTATTAAAAGAGAAGATACTTGAATTTGTTGAAAATAATATGAAGGAATTATTAATTTATAACCAACTTCAATAAGATGATTATAAAATAAATATTCAAGCCCTTTTTTATATAATTCTATGGATTGAATTCCTGGTATTACAACTTCATTTATGTCTGTTCTAATTAACCCATTTTTATTTTGATTAAATACTATCCCAAAAGAAGAGTTATTAGATTGTTTAATTTGATAAGGCAATTTTATTTCATTAAATGACTGAACTACTATATCTTCGTTAACTAGTATGTTGTATTTCTTGTTATTATCATTTGTTATTTGTTTTTCTATTATTTCTTCATTAGTAATTGGATTTGGATGAATTGTAATATAATTTTGAAATGCGTCTTCAGCTTCTTTTTGTGTTAAATAGCTTTTATATTTTGACTGTGAAAATCCTTTAACAAGTGAAGAGCACACATCCCAACTAGTATAAATTCCTCTTTTTCTTCCTTCAAATACAACATACCATTTAGTTTTTTTAGGCATTGTGTTATAATTTGTTAATTTAAAGTAACTAAAAAATAAAATAAAAATTCATTTATTAAAAAAACAAAAAAATTAAAATATATAAAAAAATAATAAAACATTTTAAAATTTACAAACTACACATGAAACATTATCAGTACTTCCTCGTGCAAATGCCATATCTCTTATTGAAGATGAAATGTCTGAAGGTTCAGACCTTATTCTATTTTTTACTATTGAATAAACTTCTTCATTCCTTAAGAAATCCCATACACCATCACATGCCACAATAAGAAATTGATCAGATTCTTCTCGTTCTCTAATGAAAATATCTGGTGTTGGTGTTAAAATTGGTTGAATAGATGTATCTCCTAAACTCCTTGATAATGCAAGAATGCCGTTTGTTCTATCATTAATAACATAACCACCATTTTCTCTTATTCTATTATATTCTGATTTAATAACTGGACGATGTTCAACAGTTAATTGTATAAATCCATCTTGTTTTATTAATAAACATTTACAATCTCCAGTATTAGCAATATAAAATTTTTTATCACAAATAAAAATACAAAGACATGTTGATCCATCTTTAATTCCATAAGTATTAATATTCTTATTAAGTTCAAGAAATGTTTGAATGAGAATATTATTTATTCCTGCTTCTGGTTTTTGAATAAGTATTTTTTCTATTGTTTCTTTAAATCGAGAAACACAATAAAATGATGTTTCTGATCCACCATGCCCATCACATAATACAATTAAATGATTTCCTTGTTCAATAAAATTTTCTATTACACACAAACAATCTTCCATAGTTTCTCTATTTCCTTTCCATTCGGAAATACCAAATGAACAAGTATTATTACATGGATGTATTAATTTAGATTTATTATCATTCCTTTTAATTGTTGTAATAGTAGATCGTTTAACAGGTAGAGAATATAATCCATTATTAGTTTTTGTTGTCATTAAAACAATAGTATTTTTCTTTAATTTATTTATTCCTGAACACTTTTTTCCACAAACTAGTTAATCTTTCAAGTTTTTTATGTTCAAATACTTCT